GGAAAAACTGTATCACAAGAACCTTTGGCGATTTGCTAAACAATTTGTCAACGGTAATATCGGTAGTCGTGGAAATGTTCCTACATTTTTGGACCCGATATACGGTAGCAAATAAATTCTACCCACAGAAATAGTGTCGCGAATGAAGTTAATTTCGATGATCATAAATGGTATCCAAACCTCCCTACTGAACCTGAACTACCTTTTAATATGAACCTACTGTAATTAGGCCACGGGACATCAGGTTGCTATTGAACCAGAAATACTCTAGATCTAGCCCTGGCCGCGCCCAGATGGCATTGGCTATGGTAGGCCTATCCTAAAAAAGTTGCCTGCAACGCATCATTTTCTCGCTACATTGTTTACGAAACTATTACAAAGTGGTATCGCACCCCCGAGTTGGTCCAAAAAGTTTTGTTTCTATAATGGGACAACGATCAAAGCATGCCCAGAAATTTTAAAATTACGCTTACGTCTTGTGTTGGGAAGCTGTACCACCAAATTATTGCAGACCGCATCTCTGAATATTTGACCAACAACAACTTGGTAGATAATAGCACGCAGAAGGCATTCATGAAAGGGATAAACGGCTGCATACATTGAGCATTCATTCGTGATGAGCGAACTTTTTTCCGATAGGAACAATAAACGGACATTACATGCTACCTACATGATCATACGGACGCATTTGGGTCTATTGAGCATAACCTTATTCCTTATAAAGGAATCAAATTCCCAAGGAGATTTGTACGCGTATATTGAGAACTTATACACCAGGCTTAAAGGCATTGTTAGAGGACCAGGTTGGGAATCTATAACCCACTTGCCTTTAAGAAAGGAGTTTCCAGGGTGATTCCCTCTCCCCCATCATTTTCATTTTAGTGTTTAACCCAATAATTGATTTGCTAAATCACATGAAAGTATGTATGGTTATAATCTATGTGGTCATAGGTATATTACTCTGCCATTTGCAGACGACTTCTGCTTGCTCACGGTGACAAGAGAAGACAGCAATCACTGATGAATAAAATACATAATATAATCCAATCTATGGGAATTAAGCTTAAACCAGTGAAGTGCAAAGGCCTTTCAATTAGAAGCGGTAAACCCGATGAATGTGTTTTTTCTCTTGGAGACACTAAATTAAAATCCCTTAAAGATGCCCCTGAGAAATTCCTTGGAAGTTTGATATATTTTAGTGGGAAAACTAAGGATACTGTGGATTTTATTAGAGACAAACTAATCAGAATTATTAACAATATCAATCTGTCACTCGTTAGGAACGAATATAAACTTAAGGTTTAAGTTTATGTACAATATGCTCTGCCTTCATTAAGACAATATCTTATAGTAACTTTATTTGTCAGCATGTTATTTGTCTAATCTTTCCTAAGTGTGTAATAGTCAAGATCTGTTTTACTCTTTATACTGTATTCTCGTGTACTCTGTACGACCGCACCTCAGTCTGTGAGTGCCACCGATAGAAAGGTGTAGTGTCACCAAATGGAAAATAAATAAATTAAAAAAATGTCTTGGTGCATAATAGTGAATTATTAATGGCGCCCTCTGTATGTAAGAAGTGCGGACAGATTAAAAACATATCATTTCAAAGAGATAGCTACATCTTTGTTGTTGTTGTTATACCAGGTCATATTATACAGTGCCAGATAAAGAAGTGGGAGTTCATTTTGACTTATTAGGACACTGTGTTTTTCATACGGATCCAAATAATTGATAGAAGGAACTGGTGAGTGTAGCATCGTACTACGTTTGATTGAACTAATAAATAATATGACGCCTATCGTCGAGAATTGTCAGTGGTAGGTAGTAAGAAGGAAAGAAATAGTGGGCGTAGGAAGAGATATAGTTGCACGCCCTGTACTCAGGGCATTTCCACCATTTAGTCAATGTTTCCACGAATCGTAGCGGACAACTCAAGTCAGTGGTGCTTAACCAACCAAAATAAGATAGCATAATTGAGGCTGAATTTTTGTCTTCATGTTATCTAAAAATTCGTAACTTCATCGGAGGGTCCTATCACATTATTTTTTTCTGGGAAATGTTCTCAAAAAACTATTCTTCACCAATATATGATTGAAAAAAAATTGAAAAATGTTTTTGACCTCTGAAATCAAGATGGAAAAAGAATAGCCTATAGTAGTGTATTAAAATAGGCCTGTTGGAGGCATTTTTTAACACAATGCATGACAGCATTCGTTGAGAGCGGCTATGCTACACGATATACCATCATGTCCTTTTATTGGAACACTATTATCTTTCTTTGAGGTTTAATTTTTACAGTGTTAACGGCTAACTTGATTTATATATAGGGCCTATACAGTTTTGTCACTACAATATATATTTAAAATGTTCCTATTTGACCACTGTTATTATTTAATTATCATTATCAATCGCAAACAAATTCATCAATATTGGTATTAATCTACTGTATTTGTTTATGTGTATATATAATTGTAATTGTGTAATCAGTAATTGAATTATATTGTCGTGAGTCAAAGAATGAACTAAGACTTGTATACGTTGTATAACGTTTATTAACTGCAACATCAATTGTAACTACAAAAACAACCCCTGAAACAACAGAGAAAATAAAATAAGTAAGGTACATCAAAGTTACCTCTTACAAGTCCAAAACAATATGTAGCGAGCGGTAAGGCCTCAAAATTATTCAAGTCTACTTTACATAAGGTAAATTAACTGTTCGATTAAATCATATTCTCTTATTATAAATTGCAAATCTCAAATTACAGCACGTCTAATGTAACGTCAAATTATTTCTTCTCATGGGTACGAACATAATAAATTGCAATATCTCTCAGTATATCAATCTCAATTGAAATCCTTTACCTGCGATGCCCTCAATGGTATACACCAAAATCAACACTGTAATTATATCGCACGACACAGCCAGTCACTGTCGGGATCGCCGACACCAGGTGAATCTCCTATTAAAACAACACATCATAAGTTCTAATGTGATGTCACATATTCATATTTTAACATGTTAGAAAACATATAAATCATAACACAATATTAGCATAATCCAGCAACCAACTTGTTACTCTTAACAAAAAATGACTAACTCTCATAATCAATACCTTACTAGTTCCATAATAATCATTACATTAACACATCATACAGTATATTGAATAATACAAACTTCAGTCAGAAGCAGATACTTAAATATCACAACTATTATGAAATACGCATAAAACTCACAAACTAAAAGATCAAATAACAAAATGAACTATTTATATAATAACAATAATCAATAAAACGATCACACTATCATCAGAATCATCGTAATAGTATACATCGTACGACGACCCGATAATTACATGGGTGCCGCCATCTTGGATTAATGTTTATATAGAGCACCCTCTCCAGCACGAGAGTTCGTGACAACTAATATTAAAACGTCAGGGAACTGGGGACCTAGAGATCTTCAAGGCTCAGCACACACACAGATAATCATAAACTGTTCAAACATGATTAAAATTAAGATGTAAAATAATGCCTGCCTAATTATTAACAATGCTATTCATATTTCTTTTTTAGCTCAAAAATAAATAAAATTCTGATTTAAAACAACCCTGGTAAAGAATGAATAATATTTAGCCTTGTATAGTGCATTAGCAAAAAAGCCTCAATGAGCTTTGGTGATATATCAATTAATTTCAGCCTATAAAAGCAAACATACTCCTTTAAAAGCATATTTGGCTCTTGGCTCTGAGTCACAGCTGACATGCAATTCAAAGAACTTAACAATAGGCCCCTAATATCATAAATGAATGAATGGTTAGCATAACAATAATTTATCTATTGATGATTCTTCTATAATGGTAAGGAAATTATTAACAAATAACAAATTTATCTCAATATTAGGAAATGAGTTCGCATCAGAAAATTAGTGATGTTTTGCCCTACCTGACATGTAAACATACTAGCAAAAAAAATATAATAATATATAATATAAATATCTGTTCAAGGTTGTGGGTTCGATTCCCACCCGAATCACTTGCAAATTTTTTTCGCTAGTATTTGGGGACATACTGAGTATTCAGTACGATTACACGTCAGGTAGTGCAAAACATCACCCCATCTCAAATCGCCAGTATCTAATTGATTCTGGTGTTTATCTTTGGTAGGTGATTATTATTGCATGTCTTCAGTATTTTTGAGTGAAAGTGAAAGCTTAAGTTATGGTATGTAGATCTAGTGTGCTGTCGGCTCAAATTATAGTATGTAAACCTAGTGTAGGCCTACTAATTAGATAGTTCATTATGTTTTCAACTACTATTTCCTTGTCTACCACTACCAGGACATTACGCCAACTACACAAATACACAATCAAATATTTATCAACAGCAAAATACTACAGGTACAGTACTACAATTTCAACTGTATTGTACTAGCAACAATCATTCTCATATTGTGCAGCTAATGCACAGCCACAAAATGTGATCATAGACACTATATGAAAGCACCAAAATAGCCAGTTTGAGTAAACAAGGCAAGGTGATGATTGACTTAAAAGTATTGTTTATTTCCTTTAAAAAATACCTTCAATGGCTTTATGCAATTTTCTTCAGGAAATAATGGCTCCTTTCCGGGCTTCTATTGGCTATACCAGAGTGTCCTTAGAAATTTTTTTTTAAATCAAGAAGCTTAAAAATCATTGTAACAAATTCATGACATATATATAAAAGTAATGTCGATGTCAGCAATATTTAAATTAAGATAAAAAAAATAATTGACGTATGCAGTACCTACATTTCTTGTGTCGAGCACTGCAATCTTTTCCTACTGATCAGAGAGTGTAGTAGAATTACAGTACATCACTGCTGTCATAATTTCTTGCTATTGAAAAATCAGTATATCAATGTCTCATTCTTATTTACATCAGTTTATTACAAAAACCTTATAACTTATTTTAAAATAAAATAAATGAAATAAATAATCAAATAAAAATAACATAGTAATAGAGAACTACATAATTCACTACTGTACATTAAATTTCCAATTTCAACTTACACTCATTCAGCTTTGGATCTACAGTATTTATATTTTAATCAATTTTTTAATCATATAAATTGATTAAACTGTAAACACTGTAGTTTAATCAATTTTTTAATCATATAAATGTCAACAATGACACAGCATGTTTTGAACAAAAATTATAATAGATGATATCTATTATTGTCCATTAGTTCAATAATCAAAGCTTAATATTGGTGTCAGTGTTTATCACAGTTAAGTGCGTACTTTACCCTGCTTACCATCCATTAGACTACACCATGAGATCAGCATTTTTTGCATTGTACACATTTCATGTCAATAGGCCTTATAGTGAGCTTCTATTTTTTTCTATCTGGAGTATGGGGTAAGTTTATAATATTACTGATAGGGCTATTTTTATTATTAACAACAGGTATCAATAATCAATTTATGATATGCATTAAACAATTGCTAAAAGTTAGACATTTTGCTTATGATCCTACATAAGGCAAGATTGTTTATTGAACCCACCACCCATCAATAGTGATGATTTCAAGTAAAAATAAAATTTAATTTTTTGCCAATTAGTGCACCTACCTCCATGAAAAAATGGAAGGTTTTTCTTTAGTTTTATTAGGCCTGCCGCTGCCTTAAAATCAGGCCCCAGAGGAAAAAAATGTTGATTTGTTGTTGAACTGATTTTTCTATGATGGAAAAAAGTTGTTTGACAAAATCTGGGGAATAGTTAATGAGATACAGATTTTTGATTATCAAAAAACTGGGGGAAAATGGGTGTAACCACCCTTTTTTCCACCTATGTTTTACAACATATCAAAATATTTTTTTCCTCCAGAGACTGACTTTAAAAACTCCAAAAATAAGATATGTATATTGATTCCTAATTACATAAATTTAAAGCATTTCACTACCACACTGTTTACATTCAAGAATAAAATTTTATTTTATTTTCTCCTGGATGTGTCTGGATGTGTTTTTGGTAAAAAAGAAAACAAAAATTTTGTTTGCTGCCCTCCTCTGATGATCTTTCGAAAGAATAAGCTTGCGAAACAAGGTTTTAAAAAAGTCTCACCCAACACATAGTAAATAAGGCAAAAAATTAAACCAATCTTTATTACCAGATAATTGGAAGGTGTTGCAAACAATTAATGCATTTTTTACTTAGCGAGGAAAATTTGTTGTTTAATTGTTGATTGTAAACTGATAGTCTATTGTAAATATACAAAGTAAATATAGGATTGTCAATGTCAAATATCACTGTAGTAATTTTCAGCTTTGAATCTTTTCCCATATTGGGACTAAATAAAAAAAAAAACATGAAACGCAGAAGCAAAAAAAGGTAGTGTGGCATATTTCGGAGGGCCATAATTTTAAAACGACTTGGACTACAAAATTATTTGTAAAAAGGAACATTTTGGTGAATTTTGAGCAAAATCTAAGAGGGTCACTTGGAGAGTTTCCTGAAAATTAGGAAACACGGAATGACCCTATATTATGTATTATGCTGCGTATAGTTTATTCTATTATGGGATCATAAATTCTTTACTCTACTTGTTAAGGAGTGTGCTTTGAAGAATGTCCCCTCTAGTTAAGTCAAATACAATATGGGGTGATTCAGCCATCTGCATTGTACAACCAAGAAATCAATTAATAATAATAATACTCAAACATTTATAAAGCGCCAATTCCAAGAATGATCAAAGGCGCGGGCGTTATTACCCCTGGTCACTGGATAACGTACAATGGCAAACCAGCACATTGTGCAACTTCCTCTGCTCCCTGTGGAGTATCCCTAGTCGTTCGTTACTTATTTAGCGCACAAAACTATGAACATTCAATGCCACAACATCCTTCCAGGTACCCATTTATACTCCTCTACTGGGTAGAGAGAGGCAAACATAGATAAAGTGCCTTGCCCAAGGACACAAGCAACTTGCACAGCGAGAGTTTCGAACCCCTGACCTCAAGGATGGGAGTCCAAGCCACAATAGATGCGCCAACCACTTATGTACTGTATTTGTTTATCAAGGACAGTGCCACATAGAACTTATGTTCAAAATGTCCTTTGTGCTCTGTAAATCCAGTGCAGTGAATTTATATTTTCAATATTTACTTTAATATTTATAGATGCTAATTTGGAATATGAAGAGTTTGTTTGGATTGATTGCGCTTTTGTGTGTGTGGCTGCCAGCCCATGCAGCTGAGGTAAGCTAATTCAAACGTACCAGTTTAATATTTTGTATTGTTATTTTCATTGACTAATAGATGCAACGGACATTTTTAAGGTGTCCATTAAATTAATAACCTGCCCAATCAGGAATGTGTTGCATGTCCTACAAACACTGTGTTTACGTATGTTTACACTGTCATCCTGTGGGAACTTAGCAAAGATCATTGGATTGGCCTAATTTTGTAGGACATTCTGTAGTATACAAACTTCATGAAGGGGGTGCAGTATATTTCCATTTTACACCTAAAAAATTAATGCCTCCCCTGAATAAATGCCTTCCTCGCATAAACGCTCTCCCCCAATAAAAGGACAACCTCCTGAATTGTAAACACCCCAGGCCATTTATTTGAAATAAATACGGCAAATTAACTATACTAATGGCAGTGTATTTTTTAGGCTTGACTGAAGAGACTGAATTTGTCAATTGAGATCCTGTATTAATGTTTTTGATGGCACTTTGTAACATGCAGTCTTCTTATAGGATCCTTGTGGAACGACCCGAGGTTGCTTTCGTTCACCTGAAGATTGTTACCCTGCCTCTGCCTGCACTTTTTTTGTTGCTTGGAATCGTAATAGTGGTAACGATTCCCTCATTGATTTTGAGTTGAGTATAGCAGCAGTATCTGGAGATACGTATGGTGCAGTCGGATTTTCTGAGAACAATAAAATGGTAAGTATGTAAAAACAACTTTATATCAAACGGAAAAACTTAATCACAAAAAATGTGTTTTTCATAAGGTCACATAAACATGATACAAATTAATATAACAAAGAAAAAAATACAAAAGTAAAGTAATTAAATACAGAACTTACTACAAATTATGAAAAGATCTATTCTACGTAACGTACAAAAGTTACAAGAAAATGAAATTAAGTACACAAAATTACATTATGCTAATTAAAAAACAAAAAATTGGTTTCATTTAGAAATAAAACACTAAAATTACTCTTAAGAAAGAAAAGTTGCATGTACATACTGTACATTTTTATTTCAAAACACTAAAAAGTAACTTTGTGAAAGAAAGCTTAAATTTTTTTTATTCAATATCTATTATTATTTTTAGTTTTCTATTAGTTGGTTGTTTATTAATCTTTTAAATATATTTATGTAAGAGGCAGTTATTGCATATGGATGTAGAATCTAGGGAGCTGAGAAAAATTATTCATTCAGTGACGAAGGACAAAACAACTTTCAATACGTTCCTCTTTTTAGTTCCTATGCATGTAATGCAATAGGAACTATTGTAATCACTCTGGCTATTTCCTATGTTTTTTATTGTGTGTAGTGTGTGCGTGTGTGTGTTGACATTTATGCAAATGCGCATGCGTCAAAGAAAAGTTTTCCGACATTTTGTTTTACATCACGATGCGAAAATCGATGTGAAGTTTCTGCAGAATTCAGTCTGGGCTCACGCTAACCGACCGGAATGTCGGCATGGATGAAACTATTTTGGTTTTACGGCAAAAAAAAATCAACTCAGCTGTGGCATAGGTATTTTGAAGAAGGCCTAAAATAAAACTAAAA